TTCACTAAGCATAATCTGCTCTAGTGCCATCCATTTCCCTGCAAATTCCATGAATTTGTCATTTTTTAGAGCTGCGTAATACTCCATGGTGTATAACTGCCACATTTTTTAATCCATTCATCCATTGAAGGGCATCTGGGTTGGTTCCACAGTCTAGCTATTGTGAATTGTGCTGCTATGAACATCGATGTGGCAGTGTCCCTGTAGTACGCTCTCTTAAGGTCTTCAGGAAATAAAGAGAACATTACTTACCCCATGTCCATGACACTTTTCCTGAACATCACAGTCATAATTCAGAACAGAAGCATTTACACATTGGAAGTTCCTACAGATCTAAGTGAGGGGGAAAAAAAGAACTAAGTAAAGAAAAATTGAATGCATTAATAAAAAAGTACCCAGAAAAAAAAACTGGGTGCAAATTATTTCATTTAAAAGTTCTTTCCAAATTGTCAAGCAATGGTTAATTCCAGTATTATTATATTTTTGAAAATGTAGAAAAATAAGAGAAATTAACTATTTAACAGAACTAATGATCAAAAAAGACAAAAATGATAAGGCCAAACACAAAGAAAAAACTTTATTCTATGAATATAAATGTGCCAGGAAACTATTTGCAAATGAATTTTTTTCAAATCAAAAATGACCAGGGCTAGGGGTGTAGCTCAGTGGTAGTGGTAGAGTGCTTGCTTAGCATGCACAAGGCTCTGAGTTCAAGCCCCAACACTGAAAAAAAAAAAAAAGTGACCAAATAGAGTTGATCTCAGAACAATAAGAAAGATTTAATCTGGGCTGGGGATGTGGCTCAAGCAGTAGCGAGCTCGCCTGGCATGCATGCGGCCCAGGTTCGATCCTCAGCACCACATACAAACAAAGATGCTGTGTCCGCCGAAAACTAAAAAAAAATAAATAAATATTAAAAAATTCTCTCTCTCTCTTAAAAAAAAAGTTAAAAAAAAAAAGATTTAATCTTAGGGAAATCTATTACTATAATACCTCTTATAAACCATTGTTATTACAACAGACATCAAAATAGCAGCTGATAAAATGAGAAGCATTTCAATATTTTTAGTTTTCTCAAACATAAAATGAAATAATACTTTGTTGGCAAAACAAAACCTATCTTCCAACATCATGATTAGTGATGAAATAATAGAGGCATTTCTATGAAAAGCACTATTGAAAATAAATCGTTATTATCTTATATGGCTATGGAAATTCTGGTTCATGCAATGAGGTATAAAACAGAAGACAGTCCTAAATATTGAAAGAGATTTAGAAGTATTACCTCAGAAAAATATTAAAGATCTAACGGAATCAACTAAAAACTTACTAGAAATTTTTCTCTTTCTAGAAAATAAACATCTTTATGAACACTGCTCTTTTGTGAGGTTAGAAAAAAAGATAATTTTTAATGTGTGTACGAAATCTTTTGTTTGATTTATCAGAATACACTTTCAATTTTGTACTTTTTTTCTGCTAAATAGCACAGCATGGTAATCTTTCTAAATAAGGACCAATCTTTTTTAAAAATTGTTGGGAACTATTTTAAAATGTTATTAGGTTACCAACTATACAAGATCAGAATGTTTAAATATACTAATGAAATAAAAAACAATATGAGAACAAACATACTTTGATACAGGGAAATCTCAACAGTTACCTTTACTAAAAAAAATACACAGGCTTGAACAGAATTGTACTTAGAGAAATACATTTCCTCCAATTATTTCAGTCAATTTTTAAATAGAAAATATATGTATGTGATTAAAAGTACAAAAAGGACAGAAGATTCTACAATGCAAATTCATACCTCATCTGTCCTCTAGCTGCCTAGTAATCTTGAAAAAAGATTTAGAAAATACTTTTTTCATGCATCCACAAATATTTTAGAGCAGATATTTACCACCAGTTTCTCTATTGCTTTAAAAGGAGAGTTTCTTTCCCAAAATTGATATACAGTGCATAGCTGAAACAGTAAATAAGATCATAGAAATAAGAGAAAATGTGCTAATAACTCCCAAATTTACTTTAAAGAACAGAAAAATTCCAAGTTTTTCACAGAAAAGAATGTTCTGATTAGTAGTGTTTGCCTTGTGAAGTAAAAGGAACCAAACTGGAAAGAATACACTGATAAAGTGCTTAGAAGAGGAGGGCAAGACTATATTTTTATATATATTTATGGTAAAAAGAAACAACAAATTAAGATCACATTTACAACAGATATAACTAACTAACAGGTTGTCTTTATATATGAGACAACCCAATCAAAAAACCAGAAGACATGAATATAAGCCTCTCAGAATGGACCTAATAAAGACATGAAAAAAAATGCTCAAGCAGGGAAATACAAACAATTTTCAGGATGCAAAGACTTTAAAAGACTCATGTTGACAAGAATCTAGGGGGAAATAAGATACCCTCATATTCAGATGATGGAAGGTAAACTGTTAATGTCTCACTGAAAAGTAAAATGGCAATCTCTATCAAAATTTTACATGTACATAATGATTAATCTTAAAAAAGAATATTTGGCATCTATCCAACAGAAGTATTTATAAAAGCAGATTAGATTAAATGCAGAAAAACATTCAGCACTAAATTGTGAACAATATAAATCTCCATAATATCATTAAATAATTGCTATATCTAAAATGGAATATGGAATAAAGTAGATTTTCCTATAATGACATGAAAGGCCTTTACCCTGTACCACTGAGTAAACACATTTCAGAATATTAAAGTCTAATCTATTTCTATTTTTTTAAAGTGTGTGGGAGTGGTAGAGAGTATAAATATTTCTAAATGCCCAGAGAGGGTGAGGACTGCACAGGTACACAACACAGTGATTACCCTAGAAAATGAGTTTGAAAAGGGGAAAACAAGTGGGACATCATCAGAGTGTCTTTGTTTTTTGTTTTAATACAATATTTTAAAATTTTTTAATAATTAAAATATGATGTTCCAATTGTTTAATGTTTACCAAAGGAAGAAAGAATTTATATTGGGGCATAGAATAAAATCTAGTTATATTCAGATGCATAAAGCAAAATGTCACTGAGAAGGGCTGGGAAAAAAATCTATTAGACAAAGTACAGTAAGAATATCAATTAAAGTAAATTTTAAGACAAAACATTAAAATATAACAAAGAAGCAATAATAAATTAATAAAAGTTATAACCCACAACTAAATTATGATAATCAAGAAACTCTACCTCAGATATAGCATTTAGCACTCCTAGTATAAAAAAAATCTGTAACTATAAGAGAAAATGAAAACAGAAGTGACTCAGTGACTTTAGTATTCCTTTCTATAAATCTTTAACACTTTAAGAACAATAAATAAGAATGTGATAGATGTGAATAYATAATTATCAAACACTACATGTTATAAGCAATAATACACTCATTTCAAATGCATTCAGAATATTCATCAAAAAATGAACCTGGAGTCAACCCATTAACCCTGTGTCTCATTCCAAGCCCAAGCAAATGCCTGATGCCTTTAAAAGCCATAAAAATATGCCCAATTTCCAAAACCAAGAGTCAGTGTATTTTCATAAAAATTTGCCTTTGCTTAAGCTAACATTTTGGGTGGGGGGGAAGGCATGCTTTGATGGTTATGATTTTCAAACCAGGTAACCAGCACTTTGCTGTACTACTCCTCCTAACAAAGTTGACACAACACTTGCAACATCACTTCTTTTTTTGTTGTTATTTTGTTTTGTTTTTGGTGCTGGGAAATGAACCCAGGGCCTTGTGCATGCAAGAAAGCACTCTACCAACTGAGCTATCTCCCCAGTCCATAACATCACTTCGAAAGAATGTGGTACCAGTTGTTCTCTGCTTTTTCATTTAATATTAAAATATAAATATATGTGTGTATATATATATATATACACACATATACACACACTATTAAAAAACATAAATATGCCACTTTTTTATCCATTCATCTATTGAAGGGGATCTAGGTTAGTTCCATAGTTTAGCTATTGTGAATTGTGCTGCTATAAACATTGATGTGGCTATGTCCCTGTAGTATGCTATTTTTAAGTCCTTTGGTTACAGGCCAAGGAGAGAGATAGCTAGGTCAAATGGTGGTTCCATTTCCAATTTTCCAAGAAATCTCCATACTGCTTTCCATATTGGCTGTACCAATTTGCAGTCCCACCAGCAGTGTATGAGTGTACCTTTTTCCCCACATAAGGAGGCTGATTCATATTGGGGTAGGGAGGGGGAGCATGGGAGGAATAGACAAACTCTAGATAGGGCAGAGGGGAAGAGGGAGGGCATGGGGATAGAAATGATGGTGGAATGTAATGGACATTATAATCCAAAGTATATGTATGAAGACATGAATTGGTGTGAATATACTTTGTATATAACCAGATATGAAAAAATGTACTCTATATGTGTAATATGAATTGTAATGCATTTCGTTGTCATATATAAATTTAAAAATTAATCAAAAAGAAAATGCAACAAAACATATATATATATAATATAATATAATATATATGGTTAAAAAACAAATAGTGATAGAGGGTTTATGGCAGAAACAACTCCCTGACCCACTCTTATGTCATCTGTCAGTCAAAGAGTCCAGAGGCAACTACTATTTCTTGTGATAATTACCTCTCTATTTTAAATTGATATTTTTCTTGATTCTATTTTAGACATCATCAACTTACATCTTTTATGATAAATAAGATTTCAGCTTTCTTACACAAACCCCAATGTTCCTCCTCTACCTTCTCAAAGTAAGTACTGTTTAATATTTAYATCCTTAATACTGGGATATAACTAGGTCAATACATAACACCTCTCTATTCATTGAGTAAGTTCAGAACCAGGGGAAAGACCTAGCTATCCCTCTCCTTGGCCTGTAACCAAAGACTAAGAACAGGCAATTAAAGGATCATCTTTCTACCAACATAACATTTAACATGATGTAAGTACCCAGCAAGAATAGGCTCCCTAGTACTGCACCCAGAATTCAACCTATCTGCCCAGTCACAGGTTGCTCTGGAGAACTAAGGCCTCCCCGCAACAGAAACAGAGTCTTCCTTGCTAAGTGTACTGCATGGTTGAGAGAGCAGACCAAATGCACCCTCTGCAGGCAGGCAGATCTGAAAGGGGGTGGAGATTGGTGAGGGTTCTTGAGCCACCTGTGCCCAGTGTCTTCTCCTGAACTCACCAATTGGATCAACCACTTTGTCTCCCTTGGAGAGACATGAAGGAGTATCAGACTGAGGCCAGGAATGTTATTTTCATGGAAGTTCTACCACAAGGAAACATGAAAAGTTTAAGTAGAAACACTGTAGATTTCAAAG